ACTGGACTAGTCTGGCATGACCTGAACTACCTGACCGTCTTCAGCAGCCACTTCTCCATTGAAAATTTCCCCCCCCCTTTTTTTTTCTTGACATCAACAATATTCTTAAACACAGGCAGAGATGAGTACATTTTTTAAAAGTTTCAATGAGATACAACGTACTGATCATTACTTGGTCTGAAAACTACTTTCTTAGCAAGCAGTGCTTTGAAATAGAGTTACTGATTTCTTATTATAAATAATGGAATTTCACAAGCCCACCTCAAACAGAATTGTCAGTGTTTTTAATGGGGGTCACCAAGAGAGCTCTAGGGACAGCAGGTCGCATACACAAAAGGGAGATGTAAATTTTAAATGGGAAATTATTAAATAAGGAAAAAATTGCCACCATAGCCTCACCACAAAGTCCTTCTGTCTTCATCGATGTGTTAGAGTGTAATCCATACTGTATATCTATGATGCCTGTAACATGAGCCCATTTAATGCTAATACCAGCTGGGGTCTTCACAACATACATTGCACCAGTATCCTGAATATTCAGTCCTTCTTTTGAAAATGGTAATGATTGAAATACAGAATCCACTACTACCTAAAAAAAAGCAAATACATTCTAGAGATAAAAATAGATTGCAAAGATGTATATTATATGTCTTTACAGCCTCTGCCACACACAATAACAGTCACAGCACTTAAATCACAGACCTGCCTGTCAGTGTGATTTCCTGTAACTGCAAATGAAGCAGACACAAGAAAAAAAAATGATATGGAAATATTTTTTAATTAACAAAGCAATGAATATCATTTATCACATATAATATGTTTTAAAAAAAACACCAAACTCATCCTAATTATTCTATCTATTCTGACCTGCTGTTGACTAGCAGGAAAGGCAGCTTAAGTATTTATCATGGCTTGGAACATTTCTGTTCGGTTCTAGGTTATCTGGAATTTTGTCTCAAGTATAAATGCCTTTTGTGGCTTCTTTAAAATCTCAAAAGAACTTTGAAGTGTCATTTTGGATAAATGGCATGTAAGTGAAGCATGGTATCACAAATGTATATTTTTTTGCTTCTAGCATACCATGAATTGCTGGGTACCAGAACTACAAAAGTAACTACAAAAGTAGTACATTCATTATAAGTCTGATCTATTGCATTTTACAACTGAATAGCTCTCCAGCTATCTTTTAAGTGTACACATACTATGTACTGGTGATATATACTTACTTTTCTTGCTAAACGATTGATAAGTAATTCACATGTGCGTGTTGTTACATTTAATTTCTTAAAACAGAGCCCTGAAGTGCTTGCAGGGGGCACCTTGAAAGAGAAGTGACAAACAAATTTAGTTACTATTGTTTTTCTAATCCTGTACCAGTGCTACCGGGAATTTTTTCAATATGTGTAATATTAACATATTTTATAATTAGTAAAAGCAAAAAGTACTCACTAGTTTTCTTATTGAATTTGCGCTCTGGAAAACATTGAAAAATAGATCAGAAGTGCAATGATAATCAGCAGCATTCTTATTTGGCAAAAATAAGTTGACTGTTTCCTTTGTGTTTGAAGTTATTCTACAAGATTAGCTTCATAAATAAACTAATTTAATATATTCCTTATGAATAATTAAAAATACACATTTCCCAGCTAATGTAATGCACCTTTCGATGAACTATTTTTAGAAACTAGATCTACTTGTTAAACATTTAAATCAAAGGGGTTTATGTAGAAAATAATACAGAAAAGATAACACAATGACCTGAACAAATTGAGTTAAAAATACGTAGGAATACAATGGTCATGCCAATGAAATCCCCTGCCCTAACTTTGGTAAAACTGCGATTTTACCAAGGCGTCTTTCTGCCCGAGATTCCAGCTCACCTATACCATACCTCAACTGGCTTTTAACTAAACTTTAACATTGAGAGTGACTCAAGACCAGTATCACAAGATTCAGCATATGCTGCAAAGCCCTTTCAAAAAACATTTCTTAAAGAACTACATCTACAGACTTATAAAGCTCATCTTCCTATGCGAGCTGCGTTCACACCTTTAGACTACAACCAAGAAACATTGAAGACAGCAATTTAAAAGCAAAACTCCAGAACAGTATAAGGCTCAGGACTTAAATTCAAGTGTACAGTTGCCCAGTGAGAGTAGATAAGAGACCAAATAGGGATGGGAAGGAAAGAAATTTAATGAAGTTCCTCGTCAGGAACTTGTGTATCCGCAAACCAAAGATGGAAATACAATTCAGTTTAAGTGTTGCATAAATTAAGACTGTGGAGAATGCAAAGAAAATGTATGTACAGACTCCAAGGATGAGACTTAAACTGGCAGTCTAAAAATAAATTGGCTGGATCCACTTTGTAGACAATGCATAAAATTCGAAAACTACAAAGGACAACTCATCACACTTATCCCAAACTCATTAACACCTTCCTAAAATAACTACAAAATATTTTTGTGACTATTCAAAATAGTTTAGTATTTTGACCATATTGTAAAGCATAAATTCAGGGCCTCAAGAAGATTTGTGGGTGGAGACCCTGAAGTTATTCAGAAGTTATGTCACCTCTGATAATTTAAGAGGAACCTATATTTGAACCTACGCATAAATTCAAGAAACTATTACCATTCTTGTGGAAATGCAAGAAACTTACCTGATTAGCAGGACATTTTTCAATATGAGCAACAATCATTTCTCCTGGTAACTTGACTAAAATGTAGGAAGCCATATTACAGAGGGCTATGTTGTTTCCATCAAATGTAATAACACTCAGTTCAGACAGTACAGAACATTGACCTAAAAAAGAACTACCGTTTAATGAGGTTACCACAAAACTGAATACAAGGCATTTATAAAAAGTTTCAGATTTAGCGATATTTGCTTTCAAATGACAAATGTTCATATATATATTGATGACCTTGTTCTGCAGACAGCATACTGAGCCATAAGCAGAAGCAAGTATCTTACGTTACTCGGTGAAAATACCTTAATCTACTGCTATGTGTCCAGGGTAGAGAACAAAGTTTAAATTGGTGAAAATTTTCACTTAAGTCGATGTTTTATGGGCAAGGTCAATGAATCTGTACATTGTCAGATAAAATACTTCCATTAAAATATACATATTTTTGAGATACTGGTAACAAGAGACTGATCCGTCCTATCTTGAGACAAATATTTAAAAGTCCGATATTGGTTTCAGTAGTGCTGCAAGGTTTTTAATATGACTTCTCTTTGGCCATTTTGTTCCCTTGGCAGACAGTCATCTGCCAGTTTCTGCAGTTTCTAAATAGGAGTAAAAACTACAGTTAGAGTTAACTGAAATGTGGAGGTTCTGTCTTTCAGAAAATGCCAGTATTTTTTTTTTCTTCACAAAATGTTGAAACCTCAACATTTCTACTGATAGAAATTCTGAAAAATCTCAGCTGGAAAATGTTGATGTTCATGTTGCAGATTTCATTTCAATGTTTTCATTCAAAACAAAATGTTTTGACTTGAATGTTAATTCGAAGATAACAAAACATTCACTATACTTCATTCTTACACTCCCACTATAATAAACCCTTCATTTATTATTTGTAATTTACAGATCAAGAGTTTATGTTGTATTTAGAAATAAAACAGTGACTTACAGGGACATTCCCATTCTGGGCAACAACTATCAGTGTTAACTTGAACTGGCATTCCTCGAAAACCACAGTCTGGCTTCTGCATATCCTTAGGGCAGTTCCTTGAAAGGTTGTATAACATCCAACTCATATTAACACATACATACTGGCTACATTTGTCGATAGGTTCAAGGTATCTTGGCTGTCAGATAAGGAAAAAACAACCAGAATCAGCTTTACATTCATTGCCCTTATGAAGTCCGGGTGATCACTTGTTCCTCACCCTGATCTGAGATAGAATCAGCGTATCTACGTGACCCTTCATCAGTTACTTTGGAATGAATTCCTTTTGTGTGGTTGTCACAGGTGACAATGATGCACCTCCATTCACTCAGACCCTTTTTCATCTGCCTTTGGTGGGATACTATATGTAAAGCATTATGCATGGAGGCTGCCTGTTATATTCAGTAATGATCTGAAGCATTTTAAGAAATAGTTGTGCATTCCCATCATTTTAAATTCTATGACAAAGAAACAAATGGAATATAGAAAGACAGGGTGAGATCATGAAGAAACCCAAAAATTCCATATATATTTCACTACCTAGAATCAGCACATAGCTTTAAAAGCCATTTTTTTTCCAGAGGAATATATCCAAGTTGCAGAATATACCAGGGCAGTATAAGAGTAGTGATACAACAATCCTCTAAGAATTATTGAGTATTTTAAAACATGCAAATAAAAAAAAAATAGGAGATATTTAAAATCTCTGGTGTTACACACATAGCATAACAGAATGGACTGAAAAGCAATATATATTTTAACACATAAAGGCAAGTAAAACTGATCATACCACACATTCAGAAGGTGTAGATATCAGTGTATGCATCATTGTACCAAAGGAAGCCTTGTCAGCTATAGTTGTGGTTGTTTCTGTGCTTGCCAGTGAAGTTTGTGTTTCTACAGGCTCAGAAGAGGAAGGCAGAGCCGTTACACCACTAGAATGAGATAAATCTATTATAGTTCTGGTCTGCAGCTCTGCGGGCTCTGATAAACTGAAATAAGGTTTAATGGTTTCCTGTGTTGGGATTTTGGACCAATCTGATGTTGTTACATCCGGGACTCCAGAAAGAGAGAGATTTGTTACTGAGGTTTTATTTCTTGAAAAAGGCGAACTCTGAACTGCAGATACTGTCGAATAAGGCAGGGAAGACTTCTCAGTTGTGGTTGACTTCGTCTTGGTAACATTTCTTTGCTCATGTGAAGTCTGACCACTTTCTAAAATATCCACAGTTCTTTCAAATGAGGTTGCATATTTAACTTCTGAAGCTGTAAACGAAGTGCTCTTCATCTGTGATAACAGATTTGTAGTACCAGTAGTTTTCATAACCATCATTTTGGGAGTTTCGTTAGTTCTCTGTGGAGCTTGAGTCACTGCAGATGTAAATAAAGATTTGTGTGACACATGCATGGGTGTTTCTATGGTGGTAGGAACTGAGGCTGAAGCCATATAAAACTCCAAATCGGCAACAAAAGAATCAGTGGTTTTTGTAGTAATCCTAGAGGCTACTGTAGTGCCAGAAGCAGCTAATAAACTGGCTGAAGAGCTAAATGGTATTTTTTCAAAAATATAAGGTGCTTGTAAGGATGTAGCATTCACCGTTGTGTTCATGATCATTGGTGTAGTGGATTGAGTGACGATTCCAGCAGATAGGGCTGATACTGTTCCATTTTCTTCTGAAGAACTTACCGAGGAACTCTGTTTTCCTAGAGAAACAGCAGAGATATGAGTGGTCTTAGGAGGAGATGAAGACATAGAGACCCTAGTGGATTGGCTTTCTAAAGTGGCTTCAGGAGTTGTAAGCATTAGTAAAGAGGGCATTACAATGGATGCTTTTAGTGCTGCTGAACGACTGGCAGAAGGTCTTATGTCTAAAGTGAATGTAGAAAAATCTACAGAAGAAGTTGCAAACTCTATAACTGGACTTTTTGAGGTTCCTTCTGTATCTAGAGATGAAACTGATATTTGGGTAGCCGTTATATTTCGTGTTAATGATGATGTCCTATTGATTATGGGAATCAATGAAGAACTTGTAGTATGAGATGTCACAAGAGATGGTACTGATGTTGATAACAAGATTGTAAATAAAGATGATGACCTTGTAAGAGAAGGATCTTTCGGAACGAAAGTGCCTGAACTTTGTGCCACAGGATCGGTTTTCAGTTCTGTATGTGAACTGCTTAGGTGCTCTGTAATTTCTGAAGTGGTTGTTAATGTAGCATTTAGAGGTAATACCAGTGTCTTAAGAGGAAAGACTGTAGACATAATGGTTTTCATTGGCTTTTTAGAAATGGATGACACTGCAAAGGAATCAGCAGGCATTATGTATTTGTTTTCTCTTGAGGCTTTACTTGCTAGAGGCATAGCAGAGATTGTTGGATTCACTAGAAGAGTGGAAGCAGCGGAAGGTACTTTTTGACTTTTGGGGTCAACAGTGACATCTGCCATAGCTTTTGGCTTCAGGGAGGTAATTGGAGAATGCACTGGTATAGATACTCTGTGTGTTACAGAAGGACTCGAAGAAGTGTTTACAGGGATTTGAGAAGCAACTTGAGGTAAATATACAGTCATTATGGGCAGAGCAGCAGAAATACTGCCTGTTATTAATGGCAATGTCTGCTTGGGAGCAGTCACTGAAATTTCCACTGAAGATAAAAATGGCTTTGGAGAAAAACTAGAGAAAGAACTTGAATTTAATGATATCAGAGAAGTTTTAGACAAGGGTTTTGTGATTAATTGAGGAAACCTTGTCTGAAAGCTAGCAAATCTAGTAGTCACAGGAATTTGAGGAGCAGTTGAAGTCAGTGGAGAAAGTGGTGTTGGGTGAACTGCAGTTTGACCAATGCCAGAGCTAGTTGTGACGGATAAAGTAGATATAGGAGAAGATGTGCTTAGTGTCAACCGTGAACCTAGAAGAAGTGCAGGTCTTGTGAAAGTTGCTCTGCCAGCTAGCAAAGCAGATGACACTTCAGAGGATGCTGCTGCTCCCTTAGAATGACTTACTAAAGGACGCCTACTCTTCCCAATCCCTGCAGGCAGCTCAGAAGTGACAAAAGATGGCTTGGAAGCTAAAGCTGTTATTGCAGAGGTAGGGGGAACAGTTCCTAGCTGAGTGGTTGATGTATCAAGTGGAAATGGAGCTACTAACAGGGAAGTGGGTGTTAATAACACAGAATGTGTTGGAATAGAACTTGCACTGAGCAGGGTTGTTGGAGTTGCTATTGTAATGGGTAAAGTTACAGATGCAGTAGAACTGACAGTACGTGATGTGACTGCTGAGGCTTGAAGAGCAGTTGGAAAATCTACTGAAGAGATGAGTTTGGAAAGGACAGTAGGGCTCGCTGTGCTGTGAAGTACATCAGAAGGCTCCACTGTACTTGGTAATGAAAATGTTGAATAGGTGGCTGCATTAGATGCTTCCAATGAATAAAAGTCTGTAATGGACTGTGCCGACATATTCATTCCCCTTAAAGTTGTGTTTGTGTTCACGGTTATTTTGTCTGTCACACTGGTATGAGTTGACTCAGTCCCTGAAGTAATAAATAAAGGAGGTGTCTGAGGAAATCTCTCCATGGTAGCATCCATGTGAAAGATTAACAATGAAGATTTGTTTCCAATTGCTGATTCTGTAGATGTCACAGGTATGCCTAAAAGGAAAAAATGCATGTTACACTGTCTTGTATGGATTATTGATAAAGTAAAATAACAAGACCCATTTAAATATTAGCAAATCAGAGCATCATTTTGCTGAGAAGATAACTTGCCAGTGGTTCTAGGTCACCTGATGACTTTGAGGAACTCAATTAATTCAAGATGTTTTCTAATTTTCTTTGCAAGTTATCTAGCTCAGTTTTTATTACTAGTGAAAACCTTGATTTTGCAGAGCAGTTTTGAAGCAACAACGGAATTCCATGGAAATTTCAATAAATTCAAAATAGTAAAATATTTGGAATATATATATATATTATAACTTTGTACTAACAAATCTCAAGCATAATCTATTTAATTCAAAATTTTAAAAATTAAATAAGAGACAATATTAAAATGTAATTATTATGTTAAAAGAATACTGTACCCTCAAAATAAGCAAATAATATAGTATCTCCACACACCAGAAGTTATGAAATAGATTGTTAGTGGGGACTCATCAACTGAAAAGTCTGAACATTTCTCCACAGCAGTATTTCTTCCATTTGGAGTCTTTCTCTTATATACATATGATATACTAGCAGTGTATAGTCAAATATAGTTGTGATGAGTATAACACCATCACAAAAGGTTAAATTTAACACACTATTAGAGAAATGAAAGTATTCAACTTTAGATGTGAATGTAGGAGATGTATTTTGGATGACTGGGAATGGAGTCTACATCCCGGAGAGACATTCTTCAACAGAAAGATGTTCTGGTAAAGCGTTTAATAAAAGAAGGACGACGATGTACATTTGATTAAAACCTTTCCTGGGATATCTAGAGTGATTTGTAAGATTAGACCAATGTAATAAAGAATACTTACAGTCTTCTGGATAAACACATTTAAGCGTGACATCATCAAGGATCATATTTTTGGGACAGTATGGCAAGCATCCTTCAACCCTTTAAAATATTATATAGTTAATTCTAAAGCCATAGTGGAAACATAAATTAATTTTAAATTATTTTACTTTGGCAAAATGAAACATTTGAATGTCTTCCTTATCAAAGTTCTGAGAACTTTCCAGTGTAATGGTGAACACTGCATTCTGAGGCATTTTAAGGTCAAAAAGACATTGAAGAGCACAATTCTAAGTTGTTAATAATCAAATCTTTGCATAGGCTGACAAACATGATAGCTTTAGACCATTCTGCTTCCACAACCAAGTAGAACTTCAGATCTCTAAGTAGAAAGGTTTTCCATAGGACAAAGAACTTCTCTACAAGATTGCTGTTTTATCCAGATATGTTCATTTGAGACATTAAAATATTTAGACTGACTCCATAGAAAGCCTCATTCTTGTGCACTTTCAGCACAGGAGAGTGCACACAAGTCTGTATATTGCCTTACTTCTCCATTTTTGGGTTATTTTTAATAAGAAAATCCTGGCATTATCAACCAGTGTGCCTATATGGAAAAAGCTAAGAATACCAACAGAGAAAATTAGTAATATTAGTAATAATCCTAATCATAAACTGCATATGCCTAGGGAGGTAGTCTGAAATTTAAAATCTAATTTCTTTTCCACGAGATTTTGTGCCTTGAGTTTTCAGGCATTTTTTCTTTTAGTTTGTTGTGGTTCTATAGATGCCAGGGGAGATCCGATGAGACAGGAAATCTTGTTACTAAGTAACAAGATAACATCAGCCATGTGAAGTCTCCCACTTCGTGTCAATGAGCATCTCTTAGTATAAAGTTCCCTCCTCTTACAGGAGAGGGCGTAGTCCACCCTTGCTACTCCTGCAGTTTTTGGTCTGGCCCACATAAACACAAGAAACACACAGTTATTTACAGCATCATGGGATGCTGGTTTAAGACGTGAATATAAACCCATAGAAGGGAACAGCCTTCATTTAATGTAATAGATTTCTACTTAACCACTACCAGAAGCTAATCCCCTGGGCTAAATACAAACCCTCTTATAATTGTGTTGAAAGATCGCATATAAACAGGAAATATATTCTGTGGGAAATGAGAGGCTTGTTACAAATGTTTTCATGTGATGTGTGAGAGTTGCTCACAAGAGTAATACTGACATCTGGATGAGAAGAAATGAATGGATATTTTCAGGAAGATAATTATTTTCAGAAAGCATATGGTATGCATATAACAAAAAACCAATACAGTAGTGATACGAGCTTGATTTTACTTACGGAGGAAGGAATTTACATGCTATTCCTTTAGGATCACTACATGTTTTAATACATGGATTAGCACAAGATTCATATCGCCATTCACACATCCTTCTATAAGGCACAGATGCACTGAGTTCTGAGAAAGAAGGAAAAAGTATTATTTATTGATTGTGTAGTCAATAAACTATAAATTTATAGTCTTTTCTATAATGTACATTGGGATTTTCAGAAAAAAAATAAAAAATTAAAACCAAGTAAAGAAATTCTGGAGAACTCTCAAATAGGTGAGATTTTGTTAATTTTCAGTTTCATAGAATCATAGAATCATAGAATGGTTTGGGTTGGAAGGGACCTCAAAGATCATCTAGGTCCAAGATTCAAGAACACAGCCAAGTTTCACGAATTTTAAATTCAATCATGCTAAAAGACCCCGAAGCTTCAAAGATAAAAACAGCTACTCACTTTTACACTATATTCTGTTAAAAACCCTTGAAAAATCAGTTTAACATAGTGAAGGTACTGTTGGTAGCAGAAGCAATACAGTTATCTCATTGATTTAAAAGATGTCTATAACTCACTAACAAGACTAACATAACACCTTTTTCTGACATGCCACACCCATTTTGAAAGAGTAAAACAATGAAAATATAATTCAAAGATAAAGAGATCATCACATCTGCAAAAATTAGAAAATAATAGCATTCGGAGACGGAATGGAAGACAAAGTCAGATTAGTAATTAAAAGTAGGATAAAAATATTTGTTACTATTGCTGATGAAAGACAAGCACTCTGAAAGCAAAAAGAAAAAAAAAAAAAACTTATCCCTGGCCATAATGCAAAATTTACCTTCAATACTAAAGCTACTCAAATGTTTGAATTCTTCTGAATTGTCGTACTTTGACACTTTGACACTAGATGAGGTGAGAATGATGAAAAAGCCCTTTCTACTGTGCAGTTCGAAGGCACTGAGCCCTGGACTCCAGAGGCCCTGGTGGTGGAAAAAGGTGGCTCGTCTTTGAAAGGAGGCACTTGCCTGCCACTGTTCCAGTCCAATGGTTTCATTGTCGTGTACATACAGAAAGTAGTTTGGTCTTTCAGCAGACTCCAGGGAAACAAGAGAGAGAGCTTCCACAATAGAAAAAAGAAAAAAAAAACAAAATAAGTACAGTTTTCACAGAAAACAGCCTAAAAGTGAGATTACAATCTATACATTGGCTGTTAAGTGCCTCCTTTTAAACAGCTGCTTTTCACAAAAAATATTTCAATTTTGTGTAACACAAAAAAAAAAGTTCGAAATGCAAGGTCTAAAGGAGGCTTCAAATGATCACATAATTCAAAGCCACCAGAGAGCTAATCAGTTAGATCAAAACTACATTCAGCATACTGCTACCAGTCTTTGAAATTATTCATAAGCAGTCTCAAATTGGGACTTGGTCAAATTGGGACAGTTTTTTCTCAAATTCGGATAAATGCCTGACAGTTCAGCTGTACCAGAATGTCACTAGTAAATAACATCATGCAAATACTGTATGAATATACTTGACTTTACTTTGAGGTCAAGGGTTTTTTTTACATTCAGTCATTTCCAGCAATACAGTAAGAAAATCTGTGGCCAAATAAAAGACTCAACCCTCCATTTGCTCTACCCATGCCAGAAATAATTCATATAGTTTGAAAAATGTGTATTGCCGATAGCAAAGTCGTTGAGAATACTTACATAAATCTTTATCTTTGAAAAGACCTGGAGTTATCATGAAACTGAAAAATACATTTCCATGCGCTCCAATTCTAGGCAGGGGAAATATCCTTCTACTGGATACGTTAGCTCCTATAATTGTGTCGTTCTCTCCATAACTGGCCAAAAGATAGGGTCCTTCACCAAGACCTAAGGGAAGAAAAATCAAATAGAAAACTAAAAATACTCTATGCAGAAGATACAAAACATAAGTCTTAGTTAACAGAACATATTGCCTTAAATATTTCACCATACCTGGAACTGAATACATTTGGAACTACGGCTCAATGCTTCAAGGTATTAGGCTGGAATAGGTCTGTACCTATTTGTTCAATGTACTCCCTTATTCTTCGCTTGCTGCCCAGAATACAACAGATGTGAACAAAAAAGTGTGGGTAGCTATCCTTACAGAATGACCTGTACAAAAAAGTAATCTGGGCTTCTTTTTTATGGTATTTGGTCTTCTACATGTCCTTATTTCTATACCTTGAAAGATAACAGAGCCCTAGGATCTACAAGGCAATTCCCCCCAAAAATCCGAATTTCAAGTTATGAGGCTGTAATTCAGCTTCAGGCAGCAATATTGCTTAAACAGTTGTCTGCTTCACCCTCTCTCACAAACCTTTGCTTCTGCCCCCCTACAGCCCCATTTATTATGCCAAAGTGCTTCAGCAGTGAAGTGATCCAGCTGAAAAATAATCAGCTAATTTTTCCACTGTGGTTCACCACACTGTCGTTCAACAATTCATGCCAATATAACAGTAACAACAGCTTCAACTGGTACCACTGCCAAAAAGATGCTGGCCTAACCATGCGCTGCAGCAAACCCCTGGAGCTATTTTTGCTGGGCTGGAAAGGCTCACAGAGATACGTCCAGATACAACAGCATTCATCTTTGTCACTATATCCCACTGAAAGAACCAAGAGCAGCATACTTCTAAAACCTTACCTTGTGAGTAATAAACAAATTGTGTAAGTTTTGTGAAAGCTTTTAATCCTTACAGAAAAAAGACTGAACCCTTTCCCAGCCTAAGACAGCTCCTTTCAAATATGACTCTTCCAAGAAGGAAGGAATCCTCATAATAATGAGATTTGGCTCAGCTAGAAGTTAAACACCAATTTCTGAAGAAAATCACATGAAAATAACTACTGTTTTTATATGGAAACTATGTTGAGCACACATAAAGTCCACACGCTTGCCACAAAATGACTGCTTTTTAAGAAGTGGCAAGGCAATTTATCTTAAAAAGACTGTTTATTCTAAATAATTGACTGTTTAGCCCTACATATTAACAGACATTTTGCCTATGACTTGAGCAAAAGCAGGAGTGAGCTGTAATTGATAAAGTTTCCATAAAGATTCAACAGTTTGACATCACACAGAACAAAAAAGAATCAGAGGAGGAGCCATCTTAGTCCCAAAGAGTGTTTTGCGGGCACTTGGTCGTGGAAACATGCATAATGCCATCCTTGACTTTAACCCTGGTAGGCAGCTAAGCACTATACAGCCACTCACTTACTCCACCCCCGAGAGAATCAGAGGGGAAGATCTGAAAAAACTTGTGGGTTGAGGTAGAGACAGTTTAATAAGTTTATTAAAAAAGAAAAAAAAAAGAAAAAAGAAAAGAAAAAGAAAAAGAGAAAAAGGAAAGCAAAACCAAGAAAAATTATGCAAAAAACCTGACTGCACACCACCAGCTGACCGATGCCTCACTGGACCCCGAGTAATGCCAGCCCCAGCAAAACTCCCCCTGGTTTTTATTGCTGAGAACGACACCATATGTTCTGCAATATCCCTTTGGTCAGTTGGGGTCCCAGATGTCCCAGATGTGTCCTCTCCCAATATCTTGTGCATTCCCAGCCTATGCATTGGTGAGGCAGCATGAGAACCGGGACAGGCCTTGATGCTGTGTAAGCAGTAGCTAAAACAGGGGTGTGTTATCAACAAATCCAAAAATATATCACCATACTAACAACGATGAAGAAAATTAACTTTATCTGAGCCAAAACCAGTACACCTTAGTACTTTTTAAATGAGACAAAATTCCCTATTGAAAGGAGATTATGGAAAGTCAGTGATACCCAGCAAGATCTACATGCTGCTACTGTACTGAGCCAGACTCCTTGGAGGAGAAAAAAATAATCTACCCTATGATGCTCATTATAGGATGCAAGTTGCTAAAAAAGATGCATCAAAAGTCACATTCATATCACTGCATTTAGTCAAGTTTCCCTTCCTTTTCAATATCTTGCTCCCCACAAAGCACATGCACAGTCTCCAAATATAAGAGGAATTAAGTCTGTGGAAGAATATCGCTGTCATTGTAAAGAGCTTTTCTTTATGGTACAATACTTGTGAGATTTCCACATAAAATGCTGTAACCTATCAATTACAAAATGTAATAGGTCCCAGTTCTGAAATTTACAGTACAAGCACAAGCTAGCATCCTTCTAGAGCTTCTCCCTGATTGCCAAGATATGCTGCATGGCGTATTAATCCACCCCCACACTGAATATGATGAGATTATTAATTGAGACATTAGGGAATTCTAAGATCATTCAGCACAGCTGGGCTACTGACCTTCACCCATTAAAAATAAAAGAAATGTTAAAACTACATACACCGAGTCAAAGAAAAAGCCCATCAATTAATTCAATTTAGTTTTTAATTGAACTGGAGCAATCTCTTCTATATGTCAATGAAAGAAGAAAAAATAAAACAAAGCAAGCCACTTCAGAATGAAAACTTAAAAGATAATTGCATAGTGTGACAAATGTTCATAAAATTTATGAGGGTTTTTTATTTTTTTCCAAAAATTGTACCAAATTAATTATTCTGATTAACCTTTACTCAGTATCATCAGAGATGCATTATATCTACACCATTCATTTCTGGAGAAAAGTGCTTGAGTTTCCTTGCACCAAAGGCAATTAGTTCAGTGAGGTGACAATTGAAATGGTAATAGCCATGTATAACCTTGTAAGATGCACACTAATGTGTCAGTATTTGAATTCCTTACTAATGTAGGATTGTCTGGGGTTTTTTATATAGGAAAAATCTCAAAATAATACATGAGAGATTGCACAGAAAAACAGTATTTTAGATATCCCTAGTAGAACAGGAGGGAAGAAAAAGTCAGTGTAATGACATGCTGATATTAAATAGGCAAGGAATATGTCGCAAACTGACATACAGTACTTCAGGCTCATACAAGTCACCTCTCCTTTCTAGTGGATTTGAAGGTCCAGAGAGCTCGAGGGATTGTGACTATGCAATCCTACCCTCGGAAACAGGAAGAACGGAAAAGAGATAACCGCCAACACTGCTGCAGCTGACAGGGATTCTTCTCAACACAAGCTATGAAAGGTTTTATTTGCAGTGTGCACTCTATCATGTTTCATCTGTGATGCCAGATGTGTCCTTTTGCCTACAACTATGATGTTTGTTTCCATGCCACTGCTCTCCCTGGATGTAGAGCAGAAAGGCCCATGGGGACTTGCTTTGCTGACTTGCTGAGCTCATTAAACTCACATATCCAAGTCAAGAGTACCGGAAAAAAAAAAAAAAAAAAAAAAAAATCTTTCTAGCCTGTGAAAGAGAGAAAATATGACACTATATTTTCTTCCAGGGTTAGTCTGAGTGAACTGATAAAAGAAAAGTGTCTCTTGGGTATTACTTTTTAAAAGATAAACAAAATAGCATCATACAGAAAGAAAGATGATAGAATAGCATGTCAAAGACACCTTCCATGTTCTAGAGTGGTCTATGTGGGGAATTAACTGCAACTAAATGCTTTATAAAAATGGATTCCATTTTGGAACCAGAGAGTATAGACTTGTTTCTAGCACATAGCCAGCTGCTATGCTAGAAAACATGAAGAGTAAGTGTATTTAGCGAGGTGTATCAATATAAGAATGAATCAAAAACTGTACTATCAAATACTACGTACCTTGGTTATAATATTCACAGTCATAAGCTAAAAGAAAAAGAAACAAGCACATTATTTTTACAAAGTAACAACAGAATCTTTGCATATCTGCATCCTAAAAATGTAAAATTCACTTTCATCAGAGGAAGTTTCATTTCCCATAATGTATTTGAGTCAGTGACTTTTTCCCTTACGCTTTTATTCAGTGACGTACAGCTGTATTTAAATAGATGTGCCACAACAGCAAACCCAAAGCACAAATTATTCCATAGCCAATAACCCTTCTTGCTTTCAATGAAAAGTAGAATGGACTGAATTGCTTTGCAGCCCCACGCAGAACACTGAGTGTACTCCAGATCTGGTATACCGATGCCTTTCCAACTGTCTCCATGCTGGCATACCCTGCGCACAGCCAGTCCTCTACAGTAAGACATCAAATTTGGGTGCATAAAACCAACAGCTAACACATACAGAGCTTGAAAAATGTGAAGTACATTTATTATCCACCTGTTTCTGTCATATTTGTATTATTGGGCAGCAAGATGCCAAAGATGCCTCCAAGATGAGCCCCGGTGCAAGGCCAGTCTGGATACGTACCACAGAGCGAAGGAGATCGCCAGTGAATTGCTGCTCCTTGCTGGCAGCATTTGTGGGCATAAGCTGCAATACTGGTACACAAGCACTCACAGTCCCCACCAAGATTGCAGTTGCATGTATCTGTGTGACAATTTTTGACAAAAGAAGTCACATCAATCTGGGGGGGGGGGGGGAAAAAAAAAAGAAACTAGGGATTTAATTGCATAGGTCGGTAA